ATAAACAAAGATATGAAGAAAATAAAATATTTGAAAAATTAGAATTTTATATTTTTACAGAATGAATGATAAATTCGCTTAAAACATATTAAAATTAAATAGCAATTAATGAACGATTTTGGCTAATTTCATTGTCTTCAATAAATTTAAATCGTTGTGTAATTTTTTTAATTCATTCAAAATTTAAAATTAATTTTGATATTTTATATTAATATATTGAAAAGTTAAATTTTACTTTATAGTAATTAAAAATGTTAATAATAATTGAAATAAACAATTGAATTAAAATAATAAAAGCATTTTATCTTTCATAACAAAAATGAGAACTTTATTTTTGTCAGATTCATAAGCAATAATAATAATAGTAATAATAATAATAAGAAGAAGAAGAATAGCAAAACTCAATACAATTAGTTGGAATTATTTGTCACAGAATCAAATCCAATTTGTTTTTGTTTTCATTTTTCTTTTCATCAATTCATTACAGCCTTACCTTTTTCCTAATCTTTTATTATCCGTCAACAGTAAGTCAATTGTCATTCATTGAAATATGAAACAATGAACGGATACAAACACCTGCATATTAATTAACTCTCTCACCTGTCCCTTTATGTTTATTTCTATTCAAACAATATAAACAATAATTTTTTTTTGAATTAATTCTCCAAATTTTTGCTTTCAATAATAATAACAACGAACAAAAATAAAGAAAAAGGAACTAGATTTTGCAATCAAAATTAAAATAATTAAAAATTTAATCAATAAAATATACAGGTCAAAGGTTAAACAAATGCATTGTTTAAAAAGTAACAGTTTTTTTACTATTAACATATAAATACATTTAACAGATAATATAAATATATAAATAACATATAAATAATTTTAATAAAAGAAATTTTGGAAAAGAAGTAAATATTAAAATTTAATTTTTTGTTATTATTTCTTCTTTGCGAAATGAAAAGTAATTTTTTGAGAAAATTTTTTAAAATTTAATTATTTGAACGAAATGATCGAATTTTAGAATATTTTTGTTATTAAAAGAAAATGAGAAATAACAGTGAAAATGAATAATTTCATCGTAAATTATAATTTATTGTCACATTACTAAAATTTCGGAAGCTTTTATTGTTTCAGTAAATTTCCATTAATTATTTGCTGGCAGTTTTTCAATTCAATAATTTCAATTATGAAATTTAGTGAAACAAAAGATTTCATTGTAAGTGAATGAGTGCAAGTAAGAATTCGAATAAAATTCATCAAATAAATCAATTACTTAAAGGTAATCATTAATGAAAAGTTATTTAGTAATGATGGCAAAGTGATAATAATACAACGGCGCATAAATATCACTATTTGATGTTATGATAATAATGTGACAGTTGCGATCGATCGTTGTCACTTTCTCTCTCTCTTTCCCTCTCTCTCTCTCCCTGAATTATTTAAATTTCAATAAAAAAAGAAATCAGAGAAGCATTCGATATAATTTCACATTATCCCATTGATAATTATATGTTCGTTCGTTGATTTAATTATAGAATAATATATTTTTATAAAAAATTTTATGCTCAAAATGATGAATTTCTTTCTTTCGATTTTAAATGATAACATTTTATTGATAATTAAAGAAAATGAAAATATTTTCAAATAAATTTAAATTGCAAAAAAAAGAATTAAAATGCATTTTACTGAATTAATTTAAAAGGCAAACGTTTTTTGGTATTTTAATTTCGAGGAATGTAAGAAGAAATAAGTAAGTGATATAAGGTTAGAAGGAAAGAGCCAGAAATATAGCTTGGCCAAGGATAAATAAAAAATTTGGCCTTAAATAAGTAAGGAGTCTAACTATTGCTTGCATTCATGCAGCATTAATAATATAGCCATCATAATCTAATCGATAAGAAATAATGAAAAAAATATTTAATTAAATTGAAAGCATTTGAATAAAACTTTAATTGTTAAAACAATGAAGTGATAAAATGGAATAAAATTAAAATGAGAATTTCATTTTTGTAGTAAAAAGTGATTGGGAAGAGAATTTGCAATTTAGGATTGGATAATAAAGCAAAAGATGACATTGAAGCAAAGAAGAAAATTCAATTTTCTCTCAACTTCTACTCCAATTTCTCATTTCTTATTCATTTATTAAACTCTTCTAAGAGAATTTCAACTTTAAAAATGAGAAAAATCTGCGTTAGCTAAAATATTTTTCAAAAAAAAAAGAAATTGAAATAATTTAAAAAATTAAATTCTAATTGCAACAATACAATCATATGATTAATAATTGCAATACTATAATCATATAATTAGTATATTATATATAATAAGATATAAGCTAAATAAAAAGTAATAGCTAAACATCTGATTACATTTCAATGACATATATGAAAGTAAAATGGACGTAGTATATTATATATAATAAGATGTAAGCAAAATAAAAAGTAGTAGCAAAATATTTGATTATATTTTGAAATGACTTTTATGAAAGTGAAATAGACGTACGTACACAATTAGCTACTGCTGCTCGCATATCACCGGTATATTTTGTGAATTATAATTTAAACGTAATTTTTTATTAAATGAAATGTCTAACTTTATGGTACTCCCATTTCCATCATTTCTTCTTTCCCTTCTAATTTTTTCTCATAGAAAAGTTTTAATTCATTTTAATAGATGGAAGCATTTTAATTTATGTCGATTTTTCTAGAAGCAATTTGTTTGCATAAGTATTAGTGGTGTATATGTATGTTGCATGTGCTTTTAAAATGAAATTAAATTGAATTGAATTCATTGGAGAGAACCTAAGCAGTAGTAAATTTAATTAAAACAAAATATGTTTAACCAAACTGAATGGATACACTCTAATAGAACAATGAATTGAGCTATATAGAATTGAAATACTGAATTAAATTGAATCGAATAAAAAGTTCAAATTGAATATGAAAGTTTACATATATTCCAACAAAAAGTTATTTGCATCATATCGGGACCATTTTAGTGGATATGGAAATGTAAACAAATCAGGAAAATATTAATGAAATTAATTACTCGCATAAATTTTGTTTAAATGAAAGATAGGAATTTAAAATACAAACAGAAAATATTTCGAATTACATATTTAAAAAAAAGAAATATGAAATTCTTCTTAAATTATAATTTTAATTTTTTATGATAAAATTTACGCTAAATTTGGTAAAAAATTAAATTTAATTATTTGAATAATAATTCCATTTAATTTATGTTATAGTAAAAGCTTTTAAAATAGCTTAAAAATTCATTTAAATACTTATGTTAAATATCTATGCCTGTAATAATTATTTTATTAGGTAAAACAATATATACTTATGATATGTTATCAATTTTTATTCTGTTGATAATTTTTTTCATCAATGATATTGATAAATCGTATCGCGGAAGTTTTTCTTGATGACGATGACAATGGTGACGATGATGATAATGATGATGATGATAATTAGTTGTTTATCACAACTTTATTAATTGATGGAGGATTTATTCTTTGGGTACGTTATAAGATAATCATCAGAAAATGTCATCGGCACAATCAATCACTATGTTGATAGTACTTCTGGTAATACTGTCAGCAGTAATATTCTTGAAGTATACTTCATGATTATACTGATCAAATCGAATTGAAGTGAACTATTTATCATTCTTTAAAACATTTGAAAGGAATTGAACCTTTGACGAACTATTTATCGTTCTTTAAAACATTTGAAAGGAATTGAACCTTTGACGAACTATTTATCGTTCTTTAAAACATTTGAAAGGAATTGAACCTTTATAGCGTAGATGTCTAAAATATAAAATTACTTTGATTATTTATTCCAATGAATTTATATTATAAAATTATTTCCATTTTCCGATAAACGATATTGAAAATAAAATGGAACAGTTACTATTGAAAATTTCATATTAAATATTATTATTTTAGCTCAGTTCTAAAATTTAAAAACTTTAATAATTTTCACTTTCTTCTTTCTCTCTATGCTTTATGAATAAAAATTATCATTTGAAAAGTTACACTTCTGATACGGTATAATGAAGAAAGTGTATTAATATTTAGGATATACTTGACGATGATAGTATTAGCAAAGAGTACTGCAAATAATAGGAAGTAGCATGAATTTCAAAATTGTTTGCAACTTGCATGAAAACCTTTGGGTTTTGTTACATATAATCGTGCGGAAATTATCACGCAGTGGCTACAAGTTTGTTATATGGCCTGAGCACTGGTGTTGGACATCAATGGTAATGGCATCAATGATAATGACTGGATAGATTTAACAGTCTATATAATCGCTATGTAATATTTATATGTTCACGTGATTAGTACATCAATAACCAATTCCATTTTCCTCCATTCTGTAGTTTACTCCTTATATCGCTTTTGCTTTCTTTTGCCATTTTCTTATTTCATCATCTGTCTTCATATTTCACTGCTTGAGATATTTCATTATTTTTTATATATAATATTAATGTTATAATCTTCTCTTATGATTAAATTCATTTTCATCTTCACTCGTTATTAATTCTTATTTCGATATTTTCTCAATTTGTAAGATTTGCATAATCTTTCACTTATTTCTCGATAACTAACGAAAGTTGAAAAAGCGATGAAAAGATTTCGTTTTATTTCTTCTCAGTTCTTGTTTTAATTCTTTTAAGCATCATTCATCTTTTTTTGTATATAAATATTATATTCTGTCTTAATTAAACTGTCATTAATTTTCTTTCATTCTGTGCTAAAATTCTTTTATAAATATGCTTTCATTCTTTCATCAGCATTTTTGTATTTATGACTTACATTCTTTTATATTTTTACTTGGAAATGAAGGTTTGAGAATTCTAATTGTCTTCCTAATGTCTCAGGTTAAACTATTACTTTTAAATTCCATCGACGAACGGAAGGAAATTGATACGGAATTGATAGAACACTGTTGCAGTAGCATTTGTAACAGCTATAGCAACAGCAACAATAATTGATGTCGCCTGAGCAAGAATTACGGTTGCTGTATTTGTATGATGAAGAAATTATAAAAAGGTGATGATTATATGAAAGAAGTTTCTTTTAAAAGCATTTCATCATCTTTGAATATATATTTCTTTCATTCAATTGTTTTAAGGAATAATATCGAATTATAATTAATATGCGTAAGAATTTTATGTATCCATATATCTAAATTGATTATAGGTAAATTTTATTTAAGCAGGAAAAAATAAATCTATGCTTGAGACGATGTAGACAGATGGAATAAATGATGGTTACACTGAACTATTTATTTCCATTAGATTTCGAACTCACTTATTATGCCCGAAAAATTCATGGTTGAAAGAATTTATTTATTAACATAATTTTTCAAGTATAATACATTTTATTTTCCCTTATTATATAATAAGGAAGGAATTTAAATTTTATCTTTTGCGGGAAGAAATTTCATTTTTAACAATACGATATTACTTTATAGTTTATTAAAAGAATGTTTGCTCTAAACTTATTTTAAAAATTATTGTTTGTTCTGTTCCAGGTTGTTAAATTATTAAAATTACCGTTTACAAGTGTTGCAAACATATATACATGTCATAAATGCTGAAAAAAGATTATCATTTTAAGCAGTATTTGTTTGACTAAGTTATTTAATTTATCACTTTCATTTAATTTGTCACTTTTATTCTTTATTGTTTAAAAATTAAATCTTTCAATAAATTCAGAGAAAATTGGTATGAATATCTATTACTCTTTAATAAATGGAATAAGAGGATGAGATGCTAAGAAGAAAAAAACATAACTACTAGAGTGAATTTATTCAGATTAAGGATTGGAAAGTTGTAATCTATTGGTTGCTATTCTTTAGGATTGCGGTGCATCATGTGGAAGCCGTTAAATTTGCTAAACTACTCAAATGTGACGAGTATCAAACTCTCGTCGAACAGTACAGTTTCAATTGGATTATCTTTTCAGTACAGCTATGGGAACGATTGTGGAAGGCTTCAACACGTATTCTTCTCTTCGAGACCGTTCTCTCCTACCTCTTCGATTGTAGGTTGTTGAATTGATGAATTAAATGTTGCGGTAAAGATTGGGTGAAGGCATTAGGAATTGTTGAGGACTATTGTCAATGTGAACCCTTCTTTCAAAAACTGAAATAGGTAGTTATGCAGGATGCGATTATCATGATTTGCCACAGAACATTTTTCATCGATATTCTTGGTGATTTCTATGCTGTACGTTCGATGATAATCACAGCAAAAATTTCGTTCTTATTATTATCGAAATTGAAAAAAAAAACTGGAATTTCAAGAGCTCAAAACTAATACTTCAGTGGTTTTATTTTCAATATAAGACTTGAGAAATTCTTTCTATCATCGGATCTATATTAACTCTTTAACTGTTTTAGGCGATCGAAAGCTCCATCGACGGTTGTTGTGCATCAATTTTACAAACAATATGCGTGACATAATTGAAGTTTTGAAAAATTTCGATGGGATTTTCAAAAATATGAAGCCTGATGTCGTGTGCGAAAAAATTTCATGCATAAGCCGACATCATGCAAATTTGATGTTGCCGGTGAAAAACATAATTAAGCGATTAGGTGAATTACTGTGTTATTATCCGTCTCTTTTTAGTTTTTGAGGATTTTAAAATGCAGCGAAATTCAAAGCAGAATTCATAGTCATTACTGCTACGAAAATAAAATATAATAAAAGTGTTATAGACAGAAAATTACTAGTAAATAACCGATGGAAATATTAACTTAATAGTTTATTAATGTCACTTTTCATCTATAATTTTCAACCTTCGATTTAAAATTTAAGAGAAAACGCACGCTGTTCTTATTACATCGTTTTCGATATAAGCTAACAGGCGAACTTCTTACTAACTTATTGTAACGCTCCAATCAATAGTTACCTCTTAATAGCGAAGAAATAACTGTTTTGTGCAGTTAACGCTCATTTATATCTCTTTGAAGGAGAAACATCTGCTAAGAAATACATTTTGCGAGCAGTACTTGATATGGGCGAAGGAGGGTTCCTGGATTTGTTGAATGCAGTGGCAGCTTGCTCAGATATTGCTCATCATTTTGTGACGGAATCGTACCCTGATTTTGAGCGATATTATTGTAAGCCGTTGAAAATGTTTTCCAAATAACGAGCATTAAATTTACAGATAAAATCTATCAATGTTTTGAGCAACAATTTTTTAGAGTGCTCATGAAATAGTTATGTATAGTTCATGTTTATCCGTTATTTTTTAGAACTTACCCATTTAAGGATTGTTGTTATCATATACCATTGGAGGAAAAGAGAGTTGATATAAGAGATTTTTGGACGTTAAAAAATATTTTTTATATGATTAATTAATTAGAATATTATTTTTTGAATAATTGTTCTAATTGTATTTGGGATGTGACTTGATTGAAAATTCTTACTTGGTTAATGTCAGTTTTTTAAAGATTATATAAAAATACTGGGAAATAAGACGATGATTAACTAATTATTGCATTTCTGAATTGTATAATTTCACTTCAGGTTTGTTTCTGCATGAACGCGGGAGAGCGGAACGAGGTTTGGCTGATTGTTGTATTTATTAATACATATGAGTTATTGCTCGGACGCAATGAATTGTATGCTATCAATAATAACCCATTATTTAACATTCCATAAGGATTGCTGTAAAAATAAAATTTGAATTCGTAATGTTAAAGAAGGATCTGTATGAATTATGAATTATTTTTATTTTTTTTCAACCTGATAGCAAAGTTAATAAGTATCTTTATTTTCCAACATGCATTTCTATAAATTCAGCTAAATCCTGATCGACAAATGAGAACAGATATATAGGGAACTTTATGTACAAATTTTCGGACTGTTTTCTAGGAAAACCTGGGGGAACAAATAGAAGTTCGTCATTTGGTTTATATTCGTATTTCGTTTCATTTATCTAGCCGTTTCCTTATTCCTGTCTGGGCTTATTTTTTTTTCAATGAAGTTGTCCGGGCTTATTATTTGTTTTCTGTTGTTTCCAGGATGATAAATATAGGCGTACCTTTGTTTTTAATTTCATAATTTTCTTCATGTATTCAAACTGTAATGACTTTGGATTCTCTTTAATCTGTCGGATAGCGTAAAGAAGCGAATTTTGCAAAATATCCATCTTAATTATGATAATGCACCTTGGATATCTTCTGGGCAATGATGTAGTTCATCTTTAAAGAACTAACCATTGAGCTTTCTACCGAGATCGAACCAATATATTCCATTCATAAACACTAATTTTTTTTCACTCCCCGTATCAAATATGCGTCCTATACTTAGCGTTCTAGCACTTTGATATCACATATGCGTCCTAGCATTTTAATATTACATTATCAGAGTTTTATTGTTCTTTTTCCAGGTAGACTTTATTTTTGCGAATGTGATATCCCAATAGCTAATGTTATTATGGAATCACGATCAAATAAACAGGAGAAAGTGTGCATGATGGATTTACGTTATGAGCATTTTCCTATCAGTGCATCAGATGCAGTCAAGGATGATATTTATGAAGGTTTTTGTTATTCCTTTCTAAGATAATTTTGCTGTTATTTAAGGTAAATAAGCACAATCAGTTAATCATTTTACATTTCAAACTGGTCACTTATTTGGAGGAGAATATTTACACCTAAAAGGCAGGGAATCTCGATTTGGACGATTTTCTGATAATAGATTTTTGTTGAATAAGATTATAAATATATATTTTAATAACAATATTTCACTAAGAGTACAGTATGAAAATTTTACATCATAGGGACAAAGCTTGCTGATATTAGGATAAAAAAAGGCTATCTGCATAATTAATTGCAGAAATTAAGGTAAAATAAAGGTGCGGATTAGGAAGAGGTTATTTGCAGGTGAAGTTATTGTTTTACGAAAATATCAGGAAGAAATAGCTCAAGCAGCTTATAATGGACAAAATACTTTGATTTATGCACCAACAGGAACGGGCAAGACTATAGTAGCGGCTTCGATCGCTCGAAATCATCTTGTAATGGGCAAGAAAAATAATTTTCATACGAAGGTATTTGAAAATTTTACTGGGAGCTCTATTTTGAAAATGTTTTTATTGGGAAAAAATATACTGTTTTTGCTCTATTCAACTCTCTTCTGTCTAAAGCCAAAAGCTGTCGGAACTCCCTTATCGTAACTATTTTGTGGAGAAATATAAAGCGAGTTGAATAACACTGTCTTCATAACTTATGAAATTGCATCGAAATGTGGGATTTTATTGTTGCAAAGTGAAAGATTATGGGTAATTTGAAGGAATTGCAAGCAAAAAATTAGAAATATAATATGTATTTGAAATCCTGTGTTGGACAAGTTTCTGTTCGGTGTGCGTTCAATGTCAAGATAAGGAAGAAGTTTCAGATTTGTTTTTTTGTTACGAATACGACATTTTTGGAGCAACAAGCTAAGTTGCTGGAGAAATTTGTTGGTCATCGTTGGAAAGTTGTCTTTTTGAGCGGTATAACAACGAATACACCTATTGTAGAGACGATTGAAGCTTACGATGTTATTGTTATTACACCTCAGCTTATTGTGTTAGTAGTTCTTTATATATTTATTCTTTGGAGATACTTATTTTATCATTGTTCTCAGGAAAAATTAAAATTTATGGGATATTTGTTTTCGGTACTGCAAATTTTTGCAGTGTTCTCCGAAGCCAGCGTTCTGTTTTTAATCGAAATGCAGATGATTTTATTTGATGACTAAAACATTTCCAGTAATGATTATTCTATCATTTAGCATTCCAGGAATCTCTTGAAGATTTGTAATGAAGACAATGGTTTACCCTTTTCGTTATCTTCATTCTCGCTAATGTTTTTCGATGAAGCTCATCATGCAGATGGAAATCATCCTTATAATGGTATTTTCAAAGCCCTATCATCATGATTGCAATAAAGACAGTGATTTGTCGCTGCATCATCGAATTACTTAATTATCGAACGTCAAAACATTATTCCCTTTTTAAGGAAATATTTTCCTGCTAAAATTTTGTATTCTAGTGATTATGAATGAATATCACGACATGAAGCAAACTGGTAAGATTCTCGATGGGAAACGCTTGCCCCAGGTATTATATTCAGAAAAGTTACTCTTTAGCTTTGCCTGACATACTGATATATTACATTATTGATGCGAAGTATTATCAATTGTAACTCAGCAATCATATTAGGCTATGTTAACAAACGAGTTTAGCCCTGTGATTCTTTTATAGGATACATGTTGCTTGATTACCAGAAAAGCGCCAAGCTAAATAATTGGACAGTCCTGATTTTCCATGTGCTAGCAAAATCTTATTATTCAATCTTAAAATTTAAAGCTAATGTTTCATAGATTGTTGGCTTGACGGCTTCGTTAGGTATCGGTAATGCTCAAAATGCTTTGGAAGCAGTAGAACATTTTATTAAAATATGTGCAAACTTGGATATTACTGTTCTAAGTTATGTGCATGAAAACATTGATGAACTTCGTGCGTTTTCGTGCATTGCTACTGACGGTAGGAATTTTGAAGATTTTTTAAACACCTGAAAAATGTCTTAAGCTTAATATATTATGTTAATGACTGTAGCGGAAATTGTGAGCGAAGATAATATTGACTCTTTTGTCACATGTTTTTACACTTATACTCAAATAAGAGTGAGCGGATGTAATGAATTGAAGTTTCATGTTGCTTTATTTTACTGTTATTTTGAACTTTGAGAGTCTTCAATTTCAATTGAAGTTTCAATTTATTAAATGAACTGTTCTATAAATTTCTTTCTCGAGTAAGTAAGACCTTTTCTAGAGACGAAACTAGTTGCATCCAACATAACCACTGATTCAGTAGTTATTGGTATCTTGGATCTCTTCAAGCGATTTGAAGGCATTTTGAACAGGATTGGTATGAAATTTAGCTTAATTAGTAGAACTATCCCTTAATTTTCATTCGATCTTGGAGCCAATTAGGTTATCTTTGAATCTACTGGACTTTGATCATGTTCTCAGCCATCAATTATCCTAGCACTTAAAATATATTAGGCTGTTTCGCATTGAAAATATAACATCGCTTTCGTATTTGCGGCTGCATTTTTGGCGAGCTTCACTAATATCGATTTCTTAGATTTCTGATCGAATTTAAACTTAGCTGAATCTCGAATCAAATTTGTTTATTAAAATCCTGTGTAGATGATATTCTACGTGTTGTTCGTTTTAGTGAGGTCAGTTTCCATGTCCGATAAAATATATGAACATTCGAGCAGGGATACGCTCCATAAGTTGCTAAACCCGCCACATGATAAGCACTCGAAAGGTTAGTTCATCTGGTTAGTGCTTTTAAAGGTTAGTTTATTTTGTTAGTGCCTCTTAGAGGTTAAAATTTTGAATGGGGAAGTTATCCAAGTCGCTAACTTTTAGTGCACTATTTTTTGAGTTTTATAGGAAATTTATTAAGCATTATTTTCAAATTTTGGAGTGTAAACCATACACTGAGTTGTGAACTCTTCATTTTTTGTTAATGTTTCAGTATATGAAACATGGTTTTCTCAGTTATTGGTCAGATTTGTTCCCGTAGCAAAGCTTGAGAGGGAAAGCCGTTTTTTTATAATGACATGCTTGCAGTTCATTGAAGTATGTTTCGAATTTAAAACAAATAATGTTGTTAGATTGAAAATTTTTAATAACTAAGCAAAACAACGTGCTTAGATATTTAGTATTTGGTCAGTCCTTAAATACGTGTATAAGGAGAAGTTCTAAGTAACAATGTGAAAATTTTGTGCAATATTCTGCTGTGAGATTTGATAACTAATGAAAATAAAAGTTGATCAGCAAAATCCGTGCAGGTATCCATAATTTGACTAAAATAAGACAATTTGTTAATTATGCCATGTACTTCTTTTGTACACTGCCCATGGTATGTAGTTTGTATTATCACGAGGAGATACGTCACTCTGAATGATCCGACTGCTAGATGTAATGAAATTACAAGAGTAAATGTTATTTAGTCACTACTTTAACGTCAGGATGAACTTAAAATTTCTGGATCAGTTTATTTGTTTCAGATCTTGTTTCGTACCTTGGAACATTATATTCATTTTCCTTCGTATGTTGCCAAAAAGTATTTTGAAAATGAATTTGATATCATCCGACACACTGCAAATCAGGAACTCGTGGATATCATGCAAAGTATTTGCCTTTTGTGCACATTAATTTCGATTTATTCAAGGCTTAATTTTATCAGGTTAAGAAAGATTCTTACATCTCAAGTGTAATTTTGAATATGTTGAATCAGAAGGCTCTCTTCTGTATTTGCTCGCTACCATTGCTTAAAATTAATTTATATATTAATTTGTTTTTATATTTATGCTTATTTTCATTGCTGATTTTTACTTTTTAATTTATGCGTTTTTCCAGCATGCCCTCTAAGAACTATTACTGAAAATAATGCAAATAACGAACTGTACAATGAGCTTCTGCGGTAATTTTTTTTCCAAAATCAGATTTGAAACTATTCGAATAAAGCTAAATTTTAATCAATATTTCAAATTTGAACAGATTTTTAAAGAAGAAAAAATTTAATATTAGCAAATCGAATTTTAGTGAATTATATGATCAGTTCACTAAGCAGAAAGATGGGCGTGCTATTATTTTTGTACTATCAAGAGATTTTGCGGGGCAATTATCAGAAGAACTGAATAAAGATGAAAGCCTGCAAATGTTGGATGTTAAATCGGATTTTATTACAGGTATGAATCGAAATTCTTAAAATAAGCAAGAAGTGGAACATTGTATGTTTTTATAAGTTCCCGTTTTCAAAAAACTAAATATAAAATAAATTCCCGTTTTCAAGAATTAAAATAAAATTTCCTGAATTGCATTGGAAACGTCCAGGATTAATGTCATTTTCAAAATTGAGCTCATTTGGCTGTTTTTATTAGTATTTGACCGAATTTGTAATCTTTAACTTCTCTATGACGAAATTTTATAATATATTAAGCTCAAATACCTCAAACCTAGTCCGTTCTGAAATGCTGCCGTATCTTATTTGAATTTGTAGTTTGATGTGTTTTTTGTCTTGAAGCTCAAAGAAAAAGTAGTACAGAGAAAAAAACTTCTTGCAGATGAGCTATCTTTAAAAAATGAATCTTATATTGCTACACTGGTTAAATCGAAGTAGGCTAGATAGATCTAACAAAGATATTTGATGGATAATCTGGACATGTATAACCCTTCCTCTCTCGACCTTCTTGTGTTTCCATTTTGGCTTCTTTTCTCTATCGTCTTGAGTTAAAAAAGTAGGGGTTTGAATAGTTGCACTTCCAATCACTTTTAGTTTTATTTTGGTTTGAAGGCATCAATGCATCGGGTATGATCGGTGGTCAATCTGTCAATCAGCAGCGTGATATACTGGCACGATTTACGTCGGGTGATATTAAAATTTTATGCGCAACATCTGTCGCAGAAGAGGGCATCGACATCCAGAAATGCAATCTTGTCATCAAATATGATTATGTGACCAATGAAATTGCACATGTACAACAAAGAGATTCGTAATTCATCACTGATTTAATAATTCAGCATTCATTTCGATATCCCTATTTGAGAGTTACTGTGAAATATTATAGTTTTTTTTGTCGGGAAATAAGAGATTGTAGTTTCAGAATCAGTCAGCAAAACCAATTTATTAAGCACTAATTTCCCATTTCTTTAGTATCTGCAATAGAATTATGCCACGGTATTACCGTTAATAGTCATTTAGAATAAATGGATTGATAGATTTGATCTTATTTCAACATAACACTAAAACTTGATCGAAGTTAGAAACTTTCACAAATTAAATGAACAAAGATATTGATTGAAGAAAACCTTATCTTCATCCACTTCTTACTGGTATATGACAAATAATTTGGCATATTGTTTTAGGGCGAGGCCGAGCTACAAATTCGCGTTGTGTTTTGATAACGTGTGATCAAAAATTGCAAGCTCGTGAGGAGAAAAATATCATTCGAGAGCAAGTTATGCGAAGTGCTTTGCAGTTGATCGATCAGAAATCACCAAATTGGTTTCAGGAAGAGGTATGAGAGAGAAGTTAATATCAGTTTTTCGTATTTTTAATATATGTTTAAGGAGCAAAAAAATGTTTGGGAAAAAAAAGAATGACTTTATCACACTTTATAAAATCTGTCTTTGGTTTTTCATTTCAAATTCTTACTCTCTGCGAAACATTGATGTTAGGAAATTAAAAAAAGGATTTATAAAATTCCTATGCTGCCAGAAAACACTTTTATTTATGTTTTCTAAAAATTAAGAAAAAAAAGACACTAAAAATGTAAAAAATTTAGGTACTGAAGCGCGTAGAACAAAATAAAATGGAGCGAGCCCGAAAAAAACTTCTCTCAGATGAGAAAAAGATTACACTAACCTCTAGGCAGTACACATTATTATGCAAGTTAGTATTGTTCTCCACTTCATTTTGAAATATCGTAGTTTCTCGTTATTATCAGAAAAATTGCTGTGTCTAGATCTGATCTGTATGTATAGATTTTTTCCTTCATTTACTCTCATATATATATAATTCTCAATCCACTTAAAATTAATTGAAGATCCTTGATACCAGTGTCTCAGCATAATCGGTTGAGGTACCAGACTATTTTAGAGTTCTTCAGTACAGAATACTGCAAAATTATTTTATTGAATCTAACAGAACAGTGTGAATTATAATAAAGGTTCATATTTATGTTCCAGCGACACCTCATCTCACTTTGGACATTTTGGAATAACTTAGAGAAATTCTTTATCCGTTTCCAAATGCTTGTTAATTTTCAGAAAATGTGATGCGGTTATTTGCGCTAGTAGTGATATTGTTGTGACATCCACCCATTCTCAGTATCTCTGTATTTGTAAAGAAATTTGGAGTCGTTCAATCCAACGACCATTTTCAAAAGATGTGGTGGAACGAGAAGCTTGTTATCAGTTAAAAGGCATTGGATCGGTATAATTTTTAAACTTTAGCGTTGTATGTTATCCACTCAGTTTGTTTATTCCATTTTTCACTGAAAAAGCATCTGAAACACTTTTAAAAATCTAATCTTTTCTGTTATTCTCATTTTTAATTTATATTTATAGGTATATTGTATAAAGTGCAATCATCAATGGGGTCGTGTTGTTCGCTATAATGATTTTACACTACCTGTCATCGCCGCCAATGGTAAAACTTATAAGTGTTAACAGTTCTCTAATTTTTGAAGGAATAGAAATGTAAACTTTAACCAAATGGTTTTTGAAATAAAAAGTGATTTTTGTAGCATTCGTTTTGGTTGCGGCAAACGGGGAAAGATTCCAAAAGAAACGGTGGAAGCAGGTACATCCTAACTTTTCATTTAATTTTTATTAATTGATTTATTTGGGTATTTTGATTACAACAATTAGGAAAATCAGGGTGTTCATTTTGCGAAATGAACATACTGATTTTCCTAATTGTTGTAATCAAAACTGTGTTCCGATAATATAAAGCGCATTATTATCGAAAGAGCGACAGTTCTTGGCTTGATTAGTTGCTCAATTACTTATCACTTAGTTCTGCTGTTCCTTTATGAATCTTCGAAAAAAGTCTACTTTATATGAATTTATTTTTGACATTAAAATGATAATTGATAGATCACAGACTTCCGAGTAACGCTAATGTACTCGTTATATACTTCATGTTATCATTTGTAAACTGGATATACATAAATTTTTAGTTTTAAAGCTCTAGGAAATTAATTTCTTCAGATAGTTGAAAACTTATTCAATCCTCGGAATATTGAATTACATGACTATGCAATTATGAAAGCTGCAATTGTACCCAATTCGATTTTTGATGGCTTCTGCATTTAGTGTATATCATAACTCTCACTGTAACTGCAAGTTTTCATTATTTCTTTTATTGCTTTGCATGTGAAATCTCGGAGCAACCAGATATTTTAGTGTAGAAATGGATGTTAACATGATGATATAACCATTTGAAATTTCTTGGATGCATAATCTGTTTTCCAATATTTTGGATTAGAGCAACAAAAGGATTAAATAATGATAGTTAATTCAGAAGAAAACTGTTTGCAACCGAAATTAATGAGTAATATTACCTTAGAAATATGTGTCAATTAATGTTATATCATTATATGTCAATATCATTTTTATTTAGAAGTACATGTCATTAAAATATGATGAAAAAATTTTTGTTTTGATCATGGAATAAATTTGCACTCCATAACAATAGATGAAATCAAAATTTAGGACTATGTAAATATAAAATTTAAGAGTACAAAATATCTTTTACACACACGTCAAAAAAGAGAAAGGAAAGAATAAAATATCACCTACTGACCAAACCTATTTTTTGTGATGAGGAAGAAATGGACGTGAAACATATTGATATTACAATGATTGTTTAAAAGTAATCTGCTGAAAAAGGATTATAATGCGATCCTATAGATTGTTCCACTTACTGCAATCCTCTTGTTGGTTCTATCAGAGATAATTTAAATGAGAAAAAAAAATCAAACGATTAAATGAGAAAAAAATACAATATCCAGTTGAAAAATAACAACAAAGTACAGCCTGAGAAAAAATGCAAAAAATTAAAAAAGGGAAACCATCACGGTAAATCAACTAGTCATCACTATCACAACCGCTGTATTCATAATCATCACTCTGATTTGCCGAATTATTGTAACTATAAACATCGCTCACATCGGATGGATACCCAATGCTAGTTGATAACTTATAAAAAGAATCTAGGGAAGCTGAATGTACAATAACATCATGGATTGCTGATGAACGAATATAATCTAGAATCTTCTGAAAAAAATATTCCATGAATCTTATACTTTTATGAAGAATGATCAAATTATTAACATTCAGAAAAGACCAGAACAAATGATATAAAAGGAAGTGCTATAAATTGCAAATAAAACAAACCTCTTCACTAGCAATTTCGATGCAAAACTGCCGTATATCGCTCGACTCCTCATGCATATTATCTCCGTTTTTATATGTGAATTTAACCATTCCAACATTTTTTATGTATTCCGTCTTCTGAAATATAAATCATTCAAAGAAAAATTTTTCTCAATCACACGATATTCTATGTCTATTTAACTTCTAACCCTAGAATATGATAACAAAGTTTGCGTTGAGTATAGCCTCTTTTTCTACCGAACATTTGAAAAATAATCCAACAAGCAAAAGGTCCTGTGTTCTATCTTAAAATAATAAATTCCATACCACTCTCTTATATATGCTACAATTTGACAAAACTGGCGCTCTCAGTCATCATAATGATCCTTTTCATCTCCTATGATCAAACTAGCTAATTCTTTCAATCATTTCCTTCTTATAAATTAGTTATGGAACCAATATAGCCATAGAACAATTTAGAACACGTTTTGCAATGCGCTATCACTCTTAATCACTAGCAGGATGCATTAAAATGTCCAGATATAGTAAAAATATTGGCATGAAGCATACCAAGTTACATCCTACACGATCATCTGGCAAATAATAGCATCGGTTAACTAAAACCTGATTTACAATCATGCTTATCGCACCAATTTTTTTAGCTGTAACAGCTTCTGACAAGCTAAGACAAAGTCGTCCACAAGGTGCTCGAGCAGTGAAGAAATTAACAGCATTCGTTACATGATTAATCCGAAAAAAGAATGCCTGAAGTCTATTGTTCAAATCATTTCAATAAAATCTTCAAAAAATTCTTTCAAAGAATTTGTATTAAATATTAGGGATTTCATATATGCGCATTCTTATAAGAGTCGCTTATTAGCAGTAAGTTTAAATGAATTTTTTGAATTCGAAAGTTCATTTAGTCCAAAATAAGTCTTACAATTAACTCTCTTATTCAGTTTCTCTTATTTTCTTCACAAAATTTCACTAAACATTCTCATTTTTCCATTTTTTAACGGGATAAAACTATTTCAGAGAAAGGTCATCACAAAATTGTTGCATACAATTATGTAATATAATTTAGGAATAATTCGATTCATTTTGAAAATCAGCCAATCAAATAAATTAGCAACGTTGAACTAGAAACTAAAAAATATTCAACCTTGAGTGCCACATTGATGCCATTAACTGTAAATTTTGAATATGATGGTATGATCGCCACTACTTCATCACGAATCAAATGTAGCAAACATCGATCTGTAAGCGCTATTGGTTGGCTGAAAAATAAGAAAAAAGCTTACAACAAATCTTTTTCATATATATTCAAAATGTTCATAAAAATTACAAAAAAGCTAACAAAATAACAAGACAAATCGTTTACTTTTGAATACAAGTACGATCAAGATCGATAACAAATTTCATCAACTTTGAGCTACAAGTTCCAATGATATTGTCTGAGATAACACCCGATGAAAGGTAAGCATTCTAGAAAAAAACAATTCGATTGAAAACTTTCATTATAATATAGTAAGAGATTATTGCGTGAATGTTACTATATCAAAATAATCAATGCATATATTATATTAGTTCGAATATTGTTGACGGCAGTTATAAAAATGTGAAATTATTGACTTTTTTTACTCTTCTCCACTTATACAGTCATCCTTCCGATCATTATCTCTTGCTGTGAAAGAGAATTCAAGACAAGTTGATACCAGAGACCATTTTCCATTGAAATGAAAGGAACAAGAGTGACCGGATCGATTAATGTTAACTCATTAATGATAACTGATGCATTTTAATGCATTTTAATGCATCAGTTATCATTAATGAGTTAACAGTTATTGACCGATGACCGAATCGATTGTCATTAGTTACTGATGCATTAAATTAGTGCAAAATTTTATAAGAATACTTGAAAATGAAGACATAATCGAAAATTTCCTTTAATCCGCATGCATATAGCTTGTAGAAAAGTACATAAATTTTCTTCTGTTAAATTACGCAAATCACCTTCAAATACCACCGTATGAATAATCCAATCTTGTTTTGTAATTAATCTTAGAACTCTCTCATTTGCTGCTTCACCATACAATAATAAACAATTAATAGAGAAGAGATCAGGCACTGAAATAAGAATAGCGTAAAATCACTCAGATAAATCGTGAATATCGTTTCATTTTAACTAGGCTTTAAAAATCGTAGTGTTAATAAGAAAGGAAAATTTAAAATTCATTGATAAGTTAATTAATTAAATTTATAACATGAATTGTAGATTATACATACCATTAATGTAAAAGATAAAGTGAAAAATGTTGATGATAAATGACAGATATAGACAAACGTTGGTGCTACATACCAATTGGAAATGTTATTAACGAAAAAGCCTGCTGGATATTTTCCTCAGAATTTGGAACATCCACTTGTCGTCCGAAATATGAATTTGCGACGGCTTTTAATACTAACTGAAAATGAAAGAAAAATTATAAAAATAATGACTGTGTCTAATTGAATCTGATGATCCATACTTTAATCTAAACTTTTTAAAATTAATAAGCATTAATGATAATTTTAAGAGCAACTTTATGTGTAGCCTTACCTTCCCATTATCTTCATCTAATGCTAAACTTAGTTTAGTGATTGCTTTACGCCTATTTTTAGCATGTTCTTCCCATAATGCTTTCCAGTGCTTTGAAACAAGACGAAAACCTCGCAATTCCCTTTGGGACAGAAAACTCCTGCAATTTTAACATCTGTTTTTTTTTATCAATCACTATTATTAATCGATATTATGTCGTAAATATTAAAAAGATAATTGCAAGAAAATAAATAATAAATACTTCCTACGCTATCGAATAAATTAATCAATGGAAAAACTAATATGAAAAAACTAATCTTAAGAATAAACTCGTACCGAAAAATACCAAATAATTATGAACTACAAAAAAAATTAAACTATAAGCAAAGAAAATTAGTATGAATGAAGACAATACAAGTTCAAGGTTAAATAAAATTAAAATAAACTTCAAAACTCACACGATTTTTAATTTATATATCAAATAATTCCCATAATAAGCAATATATAAAGTTATAATTGTTCTCGAATACTACCAAAACTAACAAAATTTATAGCTCTTTAACGATGTTAAAATAATAAAAGAGATTTATTCATAAATAATATTTTTCATATATCGTCATCCACCATTATTCATTTCATATTATCATTTTTAACTCTTCATGTATTCATTAACATACATGTATGCATTCACATGCACACAAATCTTAAAATAGATTACCAAATTTTGATAATTAGCTCGTTAGGAAGATGACGAAAGCACGATAAAAAACCAGCTGGAAGTTCACCATGGAGTTTACCACAAATAATTAACTGTTTCAGTTGAAGAACTTGTTGTGTTTCACTTTCTTCCATAAAACATGAATAATCCATCGATTTCTGAACCATTACGTCCGAACAAAAACGATCGGAAATTTTGTTATGATTTTGTTTTTTCTGTAAAAAAAGAAAATTAAACTTAATCAAATTATTATATTGTTCCTAACGTTTGCATTCTCAATTTGCAGCACGCATATAATGTAACACAATGCGATATATATATATATATATAACCTAATATCTCTCATACAAACATATCTTAGTAGTCTACCATATCTCATACAGATATACTTTAGTAGCGCTAGTAGCATAGAAAGTATAACTATAATTATCATATTATTTTTTGATAATGTCTTAATAGATACCACATAATTATGGTTTAATCATGTAAATTAAATAATGCACCAAATTTTTCAATGAAAAAATAAACATTTTATGTAAGCTATTTTTCTCCTTGGAAAAAGAAGAAAGAGAGGAAGAAGCTTTGAATTCTTTTCAACAGAAGCAAAAGAAACAAAATGAAAAGTAAAGAAGATTTAAAAATGAAAATTTGATAATTTTTATCCTTCTATTTCTCTAAAGCAAACAGTTATTTATCATATTGGATTGATTTAAGCATCATTTTCAGCAGTATACGATAAATAATACAATATACATACTAACATATGTTTCATTCATTGCCCTTTGATCTATTCATATTAACCCATGGGCTTTATCCGTCACATCTTAATAAATGGACCTTAATAATCGACATTTTCTACTCAATTGGCAAGAAAGCTAAACGAGCGAGTGTACAATAATTTGAATTAAAATACTTTTCGGGAAGATTTGTGGCGATAGGACAGTAATATATTAGTATTGTAAAATTTTCCGGGTAAGAAAAGCAAAGGGGAAGGAGTCACGGAAGAGGAAAAAAGTTGGCATAAAGAACAAAAGATCAAGTTTCTAAGATAAACGCACCAAGTAAAAGAAGATAAAGATATAATATTCACAAATTAGTTAAAACTATTCCATAAAGGTGTAATATCCACTAATTAGTTGAAACCATTCCAATAGCATATGTTCGTGGTTATCATCAATAAACGATATCAAAAAACTTCCAGATCGGTAGATATTTTCAATTATCATTATATAATTTCTTCCAAAACAATCACCAATCAATTGCTTATCCATCAATTCTGTCTTCAGATAAATCAATTAATTGAAATAATAGCAGTCTGCATCTTTTTTTATCAGGAGCTAACCTTATCTAAAGTTATTATCTTTTCTAATTCACCTGGAGCTATCCACTCATTTAACTCAATCTACCTCATCATACTTAAGCCATCGAAATCATTCAATCATTACCAATCTAAATGATAAACAACAATAAAACGAGCCGCTGTCAACACTCCATTCAGATATTCCCAATGAAAATAGTCGTCTCGCACTCACTAAAATGCTTACTTCCCCTACGAAACAATATTGAAAAGAACTAATTTTAATTTCAATTTATTCCATTTAATTAGTCAGTCATTTTCATCTCATCCATTCCGGTCCCAAAATAATAAAAACCCAAATTTAAACACATGGAAGGGATATGCGCGTTAAGCATACAACACATATCAAAAGTACGATTTTATCCACGCGAAGGAATTCAACTAATTTCTATTCAAATTTTCACGCAAATGAAAAAAGATATTGAAAGATAAGAGTACATATTGAAGGCATTAAATGTTGATACAAATATACACGAATGATTTGTACACGTTTTGATCTCAAAAATGAATAAATTTTTCTACAACTTGGAAAAAATGAAATTAAAATACAGTTTAACAAGATGAAGAAGCGTGGACAGTGTTGGTTCAATAATAAAGTAAGTGAGAAGCATAAAATGAAGAAATTCCCATGACATGTGTTTCATAAATCATCGAACAAATAGATTGGAAACAATAACTTGGCGATTAGCATTGTGAGCCAATTCTAAGTAGTTCGAGATATAATCATTTCCGGTGAGAATTGCATAAAATGTATTGAATAATCGAATAATCCCAGCTGTCTATCAATTTCCGACATAAAAAATACTTTAAAAAAAATACTATTCATCAAACAATACTGATAATTAGTGATAATCTAACAACTATTTTCTGTAAATCTTAAATATAAAGATTAATAAAGCGATAAACTAATGTGTAAGACAAGTCAATATGTGAAATAAAGAAAATGAATTATTGTGAACAGAAGGTAAACCTATCTTTCACAATTTTCTTTAGCAAAATGAATATGAGAAGTATTGAACGATCCACCGTCAACATTTATACACAGCGTCTAACGTATCCCGAGATATTTTCTATAAAAGAATCAATTATAATTCTATAGCAGATAGTAATACCGCATTAAAAAGAAATATCTTGTCTTGTGAAATATAAAAATAGGAAGAATAACGAGAAAGCTGACATCATAATCCAGGATTTCCACCCAAGGTAGTAGTGTCTCTATTACGGATTGTAAGCTGGAAACATTCACTTGTTTGCGGAATGAAGCAAAGCATGAATCGAGGAAAGCTTGCATCTGAAAATAGTCACAAGTAAAACAGAAATGAATCAAAAACTAAAGACTATAATCTATAAGATTAGGATGGTCATCGTTTAAAAGATAACAATAAAACAAAATGTTTGTTCACGCCTTACTCTATTAAATAACCCTTCCAGAAAATATTTCATTCGACAGATCACTACAATGTTCGATGAACAAAGTAATGAAAACCAATAATTTGAAACAATTAAAAAACTACTCTAAATTTAATATTTGGTCATTTAAAACAAAAACACACAATTTGACACTGAATCGAAGATCTGGCAGATGTACAACTGCTTACTGCCATATTTTCATATTGCTTGGCGATAAGTTCAAGTGCGGATACCTAAATAAGCAGTATTAAAACATTGGAAAGAAACGCAGAAAAAAGTAAAATATAAGTAATTATAAAATGAGTGAATGAATGAGAAATTATCCAGACTATAAACCTGTGCAGCTAGTTGAGAAACTCTTTCATTCAGATCTCCTTCTTCTTTTTTCAAATGATTTAAATAATCAGCTGCACGAAATAAAATTGCCGCATTAGTCGTTTTACATCCAATGGGCGAAAATGATGCTGGAAGCAACACCTTCAATTCCTGATATCCAATCTAAACCATTAAAAATTTAAAGAATTCGAGTCATACATTCTATGTTAATTTTTGACAACCAATATTTAGATAATATAATTTCATAATAACATATATAATCATTTTTTCATTCTTTTTACACTTCCAATTGAAAATGGCTGAATTATATGAACGTATTATAAATTGTTGAGGACGCTTTCTGACTTTCGCATTCTAAGACAAGTAGTTGGGAATTAGCAGCCTATCAAAAGAATCCTCAAATGATGATGTCACAGATGATCGTAAGTAATAACAATATATGACAGAAGAATGCACTTTTCATCAAAAAACCTCCATATTTTGGATTTTTAATGTGAAAGTGAGTTTAAAAAATATAAAAAATAGCTCACGATAAAGCAGGCATTTCGCCAATGTAAAAATGAGTTTTACAACAAGCCATTGTCATTTAAAACTCAAACATCTCAACTATCTCTATCTCAATAATAAAATAACGAACATTAATAGCTTCTCGACGCTGTCGTTCACATTTTAAATGAGTTGCTTTCTTACGATCTGTTGAATCGGGACTATTTTTCGACTCACGTGAGTTACCTGATGTTTCTGGTGACGAATTCGACGACATAAATTTCCTTTTAGTTTTTTTTTATTAAATTCGCAAACGATAATATCTGAATTTTTTAAAATAAACTTTTGAAAGTATGTGTGGAAAAATTACTAAAAAAATTATCTTTGATACATGAATCAATAAAGTGACAAGATACTGATGAGGAATGCAAGAAAATATTTGATGTCCTATCAGAGAGATAAAACAAACAACATCAAATACTTCGTAACACATAACTAGCCTACTCCAAAAATTATCCAATATTTCATACTTTCGATGTCTCCTTGTATGAATGTTACATCACATAACTATGCAATAAATTTAAAATTTGGATAGCCAACTAGTAGACCAAAGAGGATTGAATTGTGAGCAATAAGTTAATCCATAAATCTATACCAAAAAAGCATGAATTTTCTTCTCATTTTAAATGAACAATAATTAAAGTTTCCAAATTCAACTCTCCATACAGCTTAGATTGAATGTAAAATAAATGAACACATACATACGTCGTCAATAATATCAACCCATTCAAGATTTGTAGTAAATAATTAGTTTTTGCCCCTGAATATATAAACTAAAACATTGTTACAATTACATTACTCCGAATCCAACTTCTTCAAATCTAACCGTTTGCATATAATGTGAGCAATAAAAAGTATTATTTAATATTGAAGTAAGTATTGGGCTGATAAAATTGTCTGATGAATTGCAATTCAGCAGACAATTTTATCAGCCCAATGAATTGCAATTCATCAGACAATTTTATCAGCCCAATACTTGCTTCAATATTAAATAATACTTTTTATTGCTTACACTATATGCAAACGGTTGATATACAATATGCCATATTCTTCCCTAACTTTTGCTACTTCCAAAAAAATTTAGTTTTCAATCTTACCAAAAGAAAAATCAACTATAACAGCGATAGAAAAAGAAACATATTCTGTTCAAAGCGACATATTGAATGTAAATTTCAAGAAAAACCCATTGGTTTCAGATTGTGGACGTAGCTTGTAAGTAAGAGACTAAATACATTTTTTTATTCAACATGTATTATAATTTCATAAGTTTATTCAAAAACATGAAAAATCAGTACTACGAAAGATAAAAAGATTACTGAGGGCAAAAAAAGGATAAAGCTAAGAAGAAAAACAGCTGACTACCAAGTCAAAAACTCAAATATATACCATAACAATTAAGAAATTTCTTGCAACGTAAATAAAATTAGAACCGATAAGTAATGGAAAAGGAAGCAATAACAGCGACAGGAATGTGTAAAATAATGATATAAAATAGAGAGATGTTTGAATCTCTCCCTGTTGGATAGTCGCAACAGTAAGGAGCTGGCATATCCGCCCAATGACTCCTTTTCTCTTAACAAATGAATTACGTCCCAAAATATCGAGAAATTTTTTGTGGGACATTATCAGCGTGAAAATTAAAAATCGCATGATACTGCTACCAAATCCAACTTCCGGCTTTTACGAAACAAGAAAATTTCTGTCTAGTCATGACACATATCTTGAGTTAATGGTATGGTAAAATATAAAAATTCCTCCCAATTTTGTCCTTTCCAGTCTCAGTTGCAAAAAAACAAGACAATGATATTTCCCAGACAATATTATACGGCGATACTACAATCATGAAAACTGAATAAGAAAAATACATTAGCCCGTGAAAGATTACGAATTAAAAGAGAATAATTGCAAACTTGTTAACAAACACAAAAATTGATCATAGATCAAATTATAACCAAAATTTCAAAACATTGAAAAATTACAGAATTTAAGGAGATATGAAACTTAAAATAACTGAGAGTATTAAATATCAAATCTTTTACGTCATAAAATGAAATGAAGTAGATAATCGCTCAATTATTACTTTCTGCTTGACAAAATGAGACCAAAAAGACTCTCTTCAGAGAAACTTACATCACAAGCAGAATAAGTAGAAATACAACAATGTGAATAAAATGTGCAATAAATACTTGGCATATTTTATAGCTCAGTATAGTACCTATCTCAGCAATTCATAACGATCAACAATTTATTCTAAAGAGCTGAAGCAGTATTACAAACTTACATAAGGAATAACTTAACTTTCCAAAAATGCAAGATTGAATATTGACGTATAGTAACTAAAAAAATGAGATACATCACCAAAATAAAAAATTCACTTTATTATTCAAGTTACAACTTATACAACTACTGTTGAAAAGCTTCAGCCGGAATCCTATCACGTACAGCTAGAAATGCTTGCCCCGCAGCCTGAAATGTCAAATGGATCTTATCATACCAATAAACTTAGATTATCGGACATTGTCATCGATAATTTATTTAACGGGCAGAAAACAGACAAACATGAACTATGAGAAAGTAAAAATGATGAGTTTCCTTAGAAAATAATGCTGAATCTTATCCGGTATGCACAGCTTTTCAACGATGTGTCTCTGACTTTAAAATTAAAAATAAAGATAATGGAACAAACCTCGTAATTCCAATTTTGATCAATCAAACATTTCTTTGACCACTCTGGTTTCATTCGACTTTCCCGGCAAAATGCTTCAACCATTTGTCGCTGCATCTGTTCGTCACCTGCCGCAGCACGCTCCGCCAATGTTGGTGCGTGTTGCTCAGAGATTGATACAATAGGGCTCTGAACACCATCTGCTATGGACATTCCACCCATTGCATCCGTTGTTGCAACTGCGGCATCTGGTGGTATCTAAAATTGTTTTCGTGAAAATATTTTCGTTATAATAATTTTCGATCAGTAATGTAAATAGGAAAAATTCCGAAAAAATACTCTTTCTGCAAAATCAATAAACGGTATTAAGTATAAGATGCACTTAACTGAAGAAAAATCAAACCTTTAAGGAATTCATAATCATTGATTTATAACGTTGTATCCGTTCAGTAAATACTCCACTGACAAATAACATATCATTGACAACTGCTATTTTTCTGAAGATAAAATACTTGATTTTTTCAGTGATAGCAAAAAAAACAGAGCTAAGAGCTATAAAGTTCTAAAAAGAAGAGGTTTGGAGTTGAACAGAAAAGCCAGAGCCTGATGACAACGTCCTTAAAAAAATTTGGCAGCAGGTAGACGCTCAATAATGCTCGGAGAATTTTCCTACTTCTAACCGGCAAGTTATTAACATCTTTTCATTATGCTCTCATCACCAGTTGTTAAAAGACATGAATATCTATTGAAAAACGATGAAAACTTACCCGTCACCTTTGTTCACAACAACAAAATTACGACAAAAGAATCTGAGTTCGTCGTCATCACCAACTTTCTCCAAACCATCACGGAAAAAACCTTCTACAGCGAAACATATATGCTTATCCTAGAAATTACTCACTTGAAAAAAATACAATAAGAAAATCAATGTCAGGCATGCATATCAAAAGCGATAAAAACGAGAATAAGATATCCAGTAATTGAACAAAAAACTATATCTCCAGAAAAAAATTTTAAATGACTTCGATCTGATAAGCTGCTTCGTAATGCTAATAACATCATTACCAGATGGCAGTTGATATTATTCAATCGACAAAAATATCTCAAGTCATTCACGACCGATTTTAAGATTACCTTAACTATGATAAAAAAATCACTAAACTTACAGTTATTAAAGAAACATCAACCAAAAATGTATCCATCAAATGTTTGGTAACAGGAAGTTTTCGTAGTGCAACAATAATATCCATAGCTCCTTTATATATCACTTTTTCTCGAAAACGTTCCCATCTTTCCATACACTTGATATTATGCGAAGTTTTACGATACGTACTATATATACTATAATGAAATTTAATATTAATGTTTGTCTTTGTCCTTTTTCCATGAATGATTGATTTGTACCCTAAATTTTCATATCCGTATTCGGAGAGTCCAACAACATACTAAAGTCTGAAAGCCTTGGTAACTTTCGTTTATTAAAGTTCATCATTTATTGTTAAAAGCTGACGATCTAAACTACTGTCAATGTCAAAGATTTTGATGGTAAAGCTGAATATGATTAGATAAAATAAGGCTACAGAACAAAGATATGATATGAGGCTAACCTTGGGTTGAAATAAGGCTTTCTTTCATTTGCATCTGTTAAATTTTCCGCACATACTGTAAATGTAGCCTGAAAAATAATAAATCGCTGAAACTGATAAACTACTCACTCAACAAGAAAATTTGTAATCAGTCTGCACCATTTTATTAATGCGTGGCAGCAAATTAATAGGACTGCTCGCACTAGAAATATAGAGTGGTATACGAAAACGTAGGAAAATATCAACTTTTCAGAAATATCTTTCGCTCCCAATATCAAACGCGCCGCTCATGAAAAATTATAAAGCATACAAAAGACTAACATTTTCATCGTAAGCATTAATCAGATTTTTCCTGTTGTTAATATCCGGGTCATCATATGCTGACATAAACTCAACAATGAATGCTTCGATAAGAGTGCGATGATCATCGGTGCCGTAAAAGCTTGGCTAGAAGTAATAAAAACTGTAAGAATTGAACATGGAATTTTACAAATCAGTTATTAATCAAGAAAATCGAACAACTCCACATTCTACCAGATCAAAATAGCCAATAGCCTTCAACTAATTCTATTTATTTTGTAACCATTTCCCAACTGTTATATACTGATCTCGCCATGCAAAAACCTCTTGGAAAAGAAAATGCTCACCTTAAATGGAGGTAACCTGGCATTTTCATCTAAATCTGGTACTGCAGAGGAAGCAGATGGCTGGACCGGAATACCATCCTGAAAATACTTAAAGTAAATCGAAGGAAGAGTAACTGGTCCACTTCCCTACACGAGTTAATAAAAATTCCATTCTGGGTAACTATTTCGTAACCATCTATGCTACAGCTCTGCTGAACAAAAAACACATACAACACAGTAATCCAATTCTAAAACATTTCCGAATTACACAGCAACTTCGTTCAATACGCAAATAGTTTCACAAAAATATTATGAACATAAAAGATTTACCAGCATGGTCACCTTCGGGAAGACACGATGAATAGCGCTGTAATCGAGAGAACATTCTTATATTACATAATGTATGCACATGTACACATAAATGTCCATTCACCACATATGAAATAAAACATGAGAGCGAAGAAATTTCTTTTTAAGAATTTGAAAAGTGAGACAATTCTTATTTTACCGAAAATTTAGCATATGATAACCTGATCACTCTACATACATTATTCGCTTGAAATGCTGCTAAGAACAAAAAAACTATACAGCAAGCAATCAATAACCTTAAATAAGCTTCTGCTGATGAATATGAACCACACAAAGGATTGTTTTCAAAAAATAATGTCTCGACCGGCCATCCTTTCAGCTTTTCCAATTCTGATTCCTTGTCGATCTAAATTAACATGGGATGGTTTTTCAATTAACACAAATACTAATTTCACTCTTGGTGCAATTAGCTATCGATTATTCAGGAAGACTTGCCGCTGACCTTCAATTACGATTTAAATTTCAGGACCGATTTTCTACTGACAATTTTTTATCAGTCCTTCAAAAAAAAGAACCGAAGTCAGAAAATCAAAATAAGTTCTATTTACCTGATTAGCCGATAAATCTAATGTTTTAACATTTTTGATACGATAAAGAAGACATGCAAAGAAATCCAAGAAGCGAAGACGGTTCCCCTGCAAATAGAGCAAAATTTGCAAAACAGACAAAGTTTCCTCATTTTGATAAAACAAAAATCAATTTGATTCTGATTAATCTCTCTATCCTTCACATAATCACCATGCTCGTTAGATCTCTGATCATAACAAGAACTCAAAATTGTTATATTTCTGAACTCTAACTTTACCCTTGCCACACTTCAACAAATACCCGTTCAGTTGGATTTTAGAGAGATCTACAATGGTACCTTCACGCTTAAAATCATTACAATAAACACACACCTTCATGCTTAAGGCTGTTACACCTCCATAATGCTGATCAATCAAATCAACAACTGCCATCATAATGTTGTTACGAGTTAAAGAAAGATGCAAACTTCTTGAGCGGAACACTGAAACACACAAACCAACAATAAAATTATTTGTAAATATAAACAAGACTTTTGAGTCACCCCTTTCTGAAATTCAGATAAATGGATCGATTTTTGACTCAACAGTTCCTTAATTGTGTCCGGAAAACACTTCTTGAGTCATTTTTACTTCATCGAATTAAATTTTATTCATGAATCCGATCAAAAAAAAATTTATCACCTTTGAAAATCAAAAAGCAACTAAACCGGTACAAAAAAATCTATCGATGTTATGCAGGCTTTCAAGATTATTTCATTTCTATGATGGGCTTAGACAATACCACCAAATATGCTTTGAAATTGTTAACTCATGAATGGAATTCATCTAACGACAGCTCACCAAGTATGTACGGCTTTTTTAGGAATCATCAAATCGAGTGAAAGAAGAAATATCAAACTTACATTCATCTAAACCGAACTCACTCAAATCAAGAGCATGTGTTTCCACGTTATAGCGTTTCTTCAAACATTCCTGAAACGATGCATAATATTTGACTTTTTCCTCAGACCATCAAGAATTTGCTGAAAAGAGGTGAGATTCTAAAACAGACAAGATCGAAGATTGAAAATTTCGGAACCCTCGAACAATGATGCTGATTTCTCTATATAAAGTCATTATTCCTATCAATAGTGGTTTAACAGAAAATTTAACAGAAACCGCAATCAGCTCTCTTTCATTCATTGATATTGTAGCAAAACCGGCTGATACTCGTGATAACAGAAAGGTAATAGGCGCATTCGTATTCGGATCTCGGACACGCCTTGATATTGCGTGGATTGCAGCAGCTGTCTGAATAATGTCAAACAATACAAATTAAAATCTTAAAACAAAAAAAACAAAAGCAAAATGAAACTTTAATGTAGCGGTCTCTACGAAGCCTCTGAACTCTTTCCAAGTCGCAAAACGTGTGGTTCGATAATTAAAAGATAAATCAAAAAATATGGATTAAAACTTTGTGCAGCAGCAAAGTGCAACTGGAACAGACTGAAAGAAGTTCAGATCTGATGTTTATAAACTTTTGTCATGTTCATTACTATCTCGGAACAACTTCACACTTCGATCTTAATTATGGCAGAAATATCAAATAGATGATAAAGATATGGATCAATAAAATCTAATTTCGAGAAGGAACGAATTATCAATAAATAATTTACGTCGTCATCCTCAATAAAAAATGTTATGTCGCCTCGATCCACTTTGAACAACAAAGGTTTTACGTCATCAATATATTGTCCGATTGATCGCATAATAAAATCCTTTCCAATCGCAGCTCCTCTTACAACCTGAAACAATTATTTAAAGCCTCAGCTAATTTCCTAACTCTAAAATTTTAAAACACACGCTAATAAAAAATATATACCTTAATCTGATTCATAACAACTGCAGTAGTGGTAGCACTACCACCGGCGCCACGTTGCAGCTGCCTGTCACGTCTGTTATCAAGATGAACTTTTAACGACACGCGATCTCTTCCATTACCTGGAAACATTCACAGCAATAGCCAATCAAAGTTCTATTCCAAAAGGTTAGATTTCTTAAGTAAGTGGTAAAGAATATTCCTGTAACGACTTATAGTCCTACCTTTTCCTCTTCCACCGCGCCCATACGCACAACCAATGCTTCGTCCTTGTACTTTGAACAGACGTGGATCGAATTCCTTAATAAAAAATATAATCGTATGAAAATTCTGAAAAATGTTTGAAATTTTGCATGAACAATCGAATCCTGCTGAGTCTTACTTTTTCGTAAACCATTTTAGTCACCGTTCAATGGAAAGGGCACAATAAGTATTTTAACAGCTCATCATCCAGGCATACATAGCGAAGTGATTGACTTATAATCCTACCTTCAAAATAACATCAAAAGGTTGTGCTAACAGTTTCAACCAAAAGAGTCGTACCAAATAAGTTTAAATAGCAATGTCAGTCCCGCAATCGACTATCATTGATATGGTTAGTGATTCTCATAATAACAATCACTTAGATTGCTCTAACACCCAGCAGTAGTACATTGATAAATCGTGACTTATATTCATGAACATGCATATGTAAAGGAAACTTGAGAAAAAAGACTTATAACAAAAACATCAAACTCCAGACCATCCTACTTGTTGAGAAAACTTTTAGCAATTTCCATAAATACAAACTTACTTTTCCATCGTCATCATCATCATCAAACCTCGATGCTAAGTCGCTGTCATAATAAATGAGCTTTTTCATTGTCATTTTCTTAGCATCCCATTTTTGATGGCCACCACGTCGACTCATACTGCTACCTAAAATGAAAATAATTTATTTGGCGGAAAAGTTCAATATGACAAGAATAAGTCCTTTCAACATGAAAAGAATAAGAGTAATCAGTTGATTGATCGACAACAGCAATCAATCAAGTCGATCGATTACTTAGTTCAAGCGGTCGATTCCGATTTCCTGAGTGCATATAAGAATTACACAATGGACAAATTGATTATCGGAACAGGTTTCACGTCCATAACTCTAGATAATCCGTTGGTAAAAATTTCCACTTAAAATCTTTTGTATATACACATATATATGGTATTCCGCACTCTCCCTATGATTAATATGTGGAAAGCTAGTCAATACTGAAATACGGTAGCACATACATTTCAAAGACTTCCAATAAGTCATGGAAATACTACTATTATAATTGCTGATTTGCATATTTTCTACATTTTCGGAAGAAGCTCATGTATTTGTAAAAGCACACATCCGACACAGGAGATCTAGCATGTGTTTATTATTCCCAACTATATGCAAAACCCGTTAAGTTAGCATCTCAGCTCCTCCAATGATCTCACTTTTCCAAAATCCGCAAATTAGCATTTTAATTAATAGTAAAGTTGTAAAGAATTGAGGTTAGGATCTCATTCCTCTAATGATCTTTCAAGTTCACATATCACATTTTTAACAGTCCGCAAGTTAGTACGTCAGTTTCCCAATGATCCCCAGAACATATGTAAAGCACGAAATCACCATATACCACAAAATCACCAGATACCGGAGAACACCTGCTAATCCACTTCGCCACCCATCGCATACATCTGACTAGCTTGGTCCATTAAAAATGTACTCCCGCACTATGCAATTTACCATCGCATGGGATGTCAGGAAACTGATAGACTTAACTTACGTCTAATTCATTGTGCAGGATTTCTATACTCACTAAACTTTATATAATGTTCAACAGATTATCCATAAAATTTGCATTTAATTATCAATTAAGTGAACGAATGGCTGAATGCATAAACCTTTACTTTGGACGACAAAAATTGCTACAACTATTCGTATATGCTCGATTTCGATTGAGCAGATCGCATCAACACACAAATCATTTGGTAAATTACAATCATCAACGATGTTATCAGTCATATCTGATCATTTTATGAATTCCTGATTGATTGATTTACTATTTTAATGGATCAATAAATTGATTGATCGTTTAACTAAACTGGCTGATTAAATTCCTAATAATCATCACAGATCGACTTTTGTGGATTCATCATTTGAAGAAGTAATTTTCTTTTTCTTTCTATTTTCTTTCTCCTGCCGAATTTTTCAAGAGTAATTAACATATCGAATGAAATACTTATTTGTTTATAATAAAATTTTTGTGAAAATTTCAAGTCTTTTATTAAAATGACGACAATGAAAAATCAGCAAAAAATTATACATTTTATAACTTAGTAATACATATAAAATATATTAAATATTTCATAATTAAAAAAGGAGAGGTGTTTGATTGAAGTATAAAGTGTGACCTAGAAGGCCTGACCTTTATATTAAATTGTATGAAATATATCAGACTCTAATTATTTCGCGTTTCATATTTATTAGTGCATCTTACATTTTTCTCTGTGAGAATTATGTCACTTATTTTTATCATATTGATTAATCTAACAAAGAATGAGATGATATTATAATTATAGCATATAATTTATTTTAAGATTTTCAAATTCTTAACACGTGGATTACGTTACGTGAACTTCACGTATGGTCCATTCCAATTGCAAAAAAACGCTGAATTTTTTCTTCTTTTCTTGGAAATAAATTTTTCGACTAAAAAGAATTTTTGTTTGTTGAAATTAAGAAGTATTAAAACTATAATAAAATAATATCGATTTTAAAAGAGAAAAATTGAATTTCATTATTGCTATTCAAAAATTCTATTCATTCATTAATTTCTCTTAGCTAATTAATTTCATTCTAATCAATCAATGAAATATTATAATTTACAATTTCAACAATTAATCGTTTATATCATTCGGTTGAATAAAAAATGTGTTTTAAGTGTCTTTGAAATCGTTTATTACTTGCCAATGCTTCCATAATATTGTTAGTAATGTGATCATTTTTCTCTTCATTTAACATTCTCCTTTCTTTCTCTCTTCATTTAACACTCTCCTTCCTTTCTCTCTTCATTTAACTCTCTTCTTCCTTTCTTTCTTCATTTAACTCTCTTCTTCCTTTCTTTCTTCATTTAACCCTCTCCTTCCTTTCTCTCTTCATTTGACTCTCTCCTTCTTTTCTCTCTTCATTTCATTTCCTTTCCTTTATTTAAGCCTCTAAGAAGGACCTTTTAGCTCGAATCACCTGATAGACATAGTAATTTGATAGATCTAAGTAAGCATTATTTTGAAACATTTATTAATCAAATACAAATATATATTTAAATTGGTTTTAAAATTAATCTACCGTATCTTTAGTGATAGTACTATTTGAATACAATTCATAGAATGAAAATTAAGTCAATCGAAATATTCCGAATGATATGAATAATCTAAAATGTTTCAAGTAATTCATTAAATGAATATTATGCTAAGAAATTGTAAAATAATTTGAAACAGCAATTCAAATAGAATATACCGAAAATCGAAATCGAAAAAAAAATTCCCTAATTTATTAATGCAATTTAATTTATCATTTGAATGTTATTAATTAATTTTATTAATAAATTTTATTTGTTTTGGAAAAGTTTGTTTAATAATAACATAGTAATTCCGTTATTGGAAAGAAAAAGGAATGACGTTTTCTTCTTTCACTTTTTCTTCATTAATAACTTACGTAACTTCACGTACCTCACGTAAAATGGATATTTCTTCATTCATTCTAATGTATTTGCTACCTTTTAAATATGTTTGTTCATGAATTTAAAATAGGAAATTAATTTAAAAATTATTCTTTAAATGAATAACAACAAATACTTATATATTTTTTCTTTTGTTTCAAATATTTTTGAAATCGATCTTTTCCGCTGTTACTTTCATTATTAATGTTTTCAAGCCAATCCTATCTGATTCTTATTTATTCTTTAAGTTGATCGAATTCAATCGAAACAAAATATCTTCCAATGATTCGAATAATTTTAACCAAATTTATAAATGGAATAATTTGCAGTCTAAATCTGAATTACTTATAAAATGTAATGTTCATTTATCAATCAATAACTTCATCAATAAACTACGGATTAAAATGGCTTATAATGTGAATTTCTTCTAAGATATTCAAATAAATGCCAGTATTCCCGGCAAAAATTATAGACACAATAAAATTATAAAGATCCGATCGATAGCTAGCTTTATCTGATATTTCTGCGATATTATCATCATCCAATTAGTTTTATTAATGATTTATCATTATTATCAAAGTTTGATCAATATTTTATTAGACCTATGTAATAATTTTTTTCCCAGTCAGAATAGAAAGGTAAAATGAGAAAAGATTATTGATATATGGAAAAATTAAATAATTTATAAAAGCGTACTATTAAATTATAGAAGAGAAAAAAATACTTTTCCAAGTGAAAGGATAAATTTTGCATAGCAGTAAAAGGTTAAATTTAATGATATTTCAATTATATCTCATTGATGACTAAGCAATAATCAATATTAGCAAGAAATATACAGAAAGGGATAATTTAAAAAATCATTTTTAAACAACTGATGATGGATTGATTAACGGAGCTTGCACACATGTGTTGTAAGATTGCATTACCAACTTCAACTCTTGTGATTAATTGTTTGGTTTCATCACTAATTTATCAACCAGATTTTCCAAAAGTTATTTTCAAAGAGTTTACATGTACATATGTATGCATATAAAGCAAATTCCTCCTCATATTTTTGCGCTTTTTTAAATATAATATTGAAATATATGTATCAGATAATAAATTATTATTATTATTATTATGTTAATGATATCATGGAATGGACTACTTATTATCGATGAAATTGACAATGTATTATCAATGAATCACAATCTGTATTACTTATCATTATTTTTGTGATGTATTTTTATCACTAATAACTTTTTCACAATAGAAGGGAATGACTTAAATTTAATGTGTGGAAATATGCAAACATGATAATAAACATTGCTGTATGATATTAAAGCATACGTTGCAATGAAAAATTTTATATTCCAAATAATATTTGGTATTGTAAAATGTTTAATGAGAAATGGAGTGACTGATTAGTCACTCCATTTCTCTCCATAAATTCCATAAATAAATTGTTTATTTATAAATTGTTTATTTAAAATTTTAATTTGTATTTTAATATTAAGTAAAATATTTTTTATAATAAATTCGAATATGCTGACGGAAAGTTATAAAATCTTTCGGCTTTACCCTGCGCTTATGATGCCATGAAGAATACGTGTACTGTTATTCATCCTAGCGTCACACCGAATAGTGAAAGAAGTTGAACTAGAAATGAAATATTATGAGCTGGATATTTACGAACCGGACAAACCGGATATTTAAGAAAACAGATATTACGAGACACCGAATAGTGAAAGAGGTTGAACTATAATAAAAAGAAATGAAAGGATTGGAAAATCTTACTGCTATGAGACTTTGGTGAGGAAAGGTGGAGGGGCCGAGAATGTTTCACATCTTCATTGATATTGCACATAAAACTTATGTTACCTTTGACCTGCTGCTGTCAGTTTCCTTTTTTTCTATTGTTAATTTTTCTGTATAATTTTTTCGCTAATTTATGTGATATGATTAGTGCAATGCAGTTTTATCTTGCATTTTACGTACTTTCAACATGTAAGTGTGTAGGTGGATCAATAAACTAGATAAATGATGAGTCAATGAAAAGATTAAACGGAATGTTTGTTGTTGACAGTACGATCCTATCTCTGCCCTATTTATTAATCTATATGCATTCCATATTTGATATATTACCGATTATTCTTATTTTAATATATTTATAAGATAGAGTGATAATCCTATAATCGTGTGA